TTTACTTTACTTACTTCTTCTCTCTCTCTCTCTCTCTCTCTCTCTCTCTCTCTCTCTCTCTCTCTCTCTCTCTCTCTCTCCACACCTACTTTATACTCTAGATCTAACGGCGATGTATCCCCCGACGGTAACGTAAGAACGTTGTCTCGCAAGGACCCGCGGCGCGTCGTTGCAAAACGGGAGGAGCACCGTGGAGGGCTTTTTTTTTCATTCGAAAATCAAACGGCACGCAAATTCATTCACGACCGCGCCCCGGGGAAAACGCCGGAGAGCGAGGAGGTCGGTGTATACCTTAAAATGACTGCTGCTTTTGCGCGCGAACCGCGCCGGAACGTGCCGGCGCCGATCCCGGCGGGGAGAGCGAATCCCTCCGAAGCGGTGGCACTTTTCAATACTTCACTATACCGAAACGTCGGTCGAGGATCTTATACTATTCCCGGCGCGTCCTCTTCGGACGCTGACTGACCCCCACGTCGTCGCCGCCGCGCGTCTTCTTGCCGATCTGCACCTGGCTCTGCGCCGTCAGCTGCAGCGAGATCGCATGGGTGTTGAGCTTCTCCGCCAGCAGCAGATCCTTCAGGCCCTTCATCTTCTGACTGTACAGTATTATCCTCGGTCTCTCGCTCTCGGACTCGGTCTCCACGCTCTCGGGCTCGACGCTCTCGACCTTGGAGGTGGAGGGCGCCGGCGGTAGGGAGTCGTCCGGCGGCGCGACGAACGGCTCGCCGCCGCCCTGCAGCAGGTAATCTCTGTTAAGTATCTTCTCGCTGCAGGCCGCCGTGAGGGCTTGAATGCTGGGATGCGTCGACGCGGAATTCGAGGGCACCTTCGACTCCAGACTCTTGATCAGATCCCGCGCCGCGTTGCCCCTCTCCTTGGTCTTGCAGTAATTGTTGTTGTTGTTGTTCAGCGTTTCCTCGGGACTCGTCTCTCTCTTCTGCGCCGTCTCCTCCTTCTGCTTCGCGTCCGTGTAGCACTCGATGACGACCTGCGCGCGTATGCTGGCGTCGAACTTGGAGATCGTGCCCACCAGCGGCCGGGCCCAGCCGATGTGCAGCACAGGGGTGTTGGCGCCCTCCTCCCACTGGCAGATACCGTCGTAGAATCTCAACAGGTACGCGAAGCTCCGTGGCTGTCGCAATAGGCGCTCGTCGACGCGCACCGCGTGCGGTATCAGCTCGTTGGCGATCTCCAGCAATTCCTTGTATATCTCCCCGTCGTCCCGCGAGTAATCGTATCTGTCGCACATAAAATTCCGTTACTCGCCGCATATCGATGAGAGCAGCGGTACTCGACACGCTCTCCGACGTGTCTGAAGTGCGCGTCAATCGCGACAAACATGTCGACGGTGTGTAAAAAGAAAAAAGAGAGACTGCACGTCGGATACTCACTTCCGCAATACATCGGCGGCATCGGCCCACGATGCAAATGCGTTCACATGCGAGCCATGGCGATACAGATATCCTCCTTGATAAGTGTAAGGGTAGACATGCGCATTGCCGTAGTATTTCCTCGCCGATCTTACAGCCTCCTACAGACACATGAGAATAAATGTGAATGTCAAGACCCAGCACTGTCGATTTTCACAGATGACAAACCTGGAAGAGATCTATTGGCGGCGGTCTTCCCGGCGTAGGAGCGGCCTCCTCCAATTCAGCCAAATTGCCGAGAGCCATGGGATACCGTGCGAGGTGGCCCAAGTCGTACAACAGCCACAGCAGTTCCTGCTGCAGCAAAGCCACTTCGGCGGCGTCGGTGGTCGCATTCAGACTAGGATTTATAGCCGACACTATGGTAGCCACTTCTAAAGCGCGAGTGCACACCATAGCCTGGCCGTTTACGTACAACCATGATCGAGATGCCACACCAGGCTCCACAGGTTGTCCACGTTTGTCTTCGTTCCCTTTACCTGGTGGTAAATTTGTCTTTTAAAATAAAATCGGAAGGGAAACATTTAGTATGTAAGAATTCTGAGATCTTTGCAAAGTTAAAAAAGGCAAAAGTTCTTCTTCTCAAAATTCAAGATTCTGTACAAGACAAGAGGATGTCTCTCTCTCTCTCTCTTTCCACTAAGAATGAAGAACCACATACCGTGCCATGTGACCTCCGTTGTCTCCGTTCCGTCCTCTCCGTATACAACCCACGCGTGATCCTCCGACATGGCAAGATGTACATCCTTGAATCCCAGCACCTGGCAGCCGGCCACCACGGCAAAGGCGACTCCGTAGCAGTCCAGCTTATTGGCGGTCAGGTAACTGTAGAGGCTCTGCAGATGCGCCCGGTCCTTGTAATAACTCCTGGTGAGCGAGTTCCATATCACGTCCGACACCTTCTTGACGAGCTCCCTGGTGGCGTACTTGGTGTCGTACACAGTGAGATCGACGGCGCCCTTGATCACCGCGTGAAACTTGGTGTACAGCGCCTCGGCGATGTGATACTCGACCGCCGGCAGCTTCGGCTCGTCGTAGACGTTCTCCTGCGACGTGAAGATGCGATTGCACGTGAGGGAGTTCTCCACGGCGCCGACGAGGATCGAAAGCAGCGCGAGATCCGGCTCGGCGCTGTTCTCCAGCTGATTCTTGAAGATCTGCACGATCGCGGAGATGCTGCGGATGGGAAACAGGGCTCTGTCTCTGTCACGAAAGCCCGCCATGTCGTGTGACGAGCCGCCGAACTTTCTGCGAAGTTGGACAGCACGCACGCACGCACTCGATGCAACGACGGTGGCGGCTGGCCGATTTACAACGATCGAGTGAGGCCCGTCATACCTTTGGCTCGCGACGCACGACTTCTGACAGAAATCACGCAAGGAAATACGCAACGGGCGGCCACGTCGGGCCCGCCGACTCGTCGGCCACAACGCGCGCGCACGCTACTCCACTACGGTAGTAGTAAACGCTGCCCGTGCTGCTGCGCGGATCCTCTCGGCATCTCCGCACGCAAAAGCCGCTCTCTCCTCTCTCGCCCGCTCTCGCTGGCCGTGTCGCCCCGTACCGTGGCCGTCCAGCGGCGCCGCTCTCCTCCGCTCGGAGAACACGGAACAGGAGTGTTTCCATTCGACCGCCGCCACGCCGCACCACGGTCGCCGGATAGAAGCCGGTAGAATTTTCGGTGAGTGCGATCTCTCGACGTGATTCGGGAATAATTCATACATAACGGGAAATTGATTGCTGCGTTTACCTTTGCATTCTTTATCTCGGAAGTATTACACCGAGTATTATTATATTTCCGCAGGCGTAATGAATAAGAGCGAATTGATTTTGCTTCTGCACTCTAAATGAAGATCGAAGCCGATCTTGCAATTGTGGATTTAATCCTCGCAGTAACTTTGGGGAAAGATGAACCTGCGTTAATTAAGATGCCTCCGTTGCGGCGAGAAGGTAAAATTGAATAAAGGTAAAGATCGTTTTTGCTTATCAAGTGAAAGTTGAGATCGCGGAATTTTTATAAATGCAGCTCTTGGCACTGCGGACACGAAAAGATGCTTCACATCGATTGTCGAGTTCCTTTTGAAACCAATAAACATTTTTTTCACATTCTGAAGAATACGAAAAATGTGCCCCGCATCGATTGTTGAATTTTCTTCGAAAGCTTTGACAAGGAAACTCGGATGTAGTTGTGCATAAACTTGGGCTGTGTTCCGAAATTCACTGCCAGTACTGAAAATCTATAATTTACGTTACGTATATTGTAGATTTTCAGTACTGGCAGTGAATTTCGGAACGCAGCCTTGCATATGTATTGTAAAGTGCATATATCTATTGTTTTGTAGGTTATATATAAGTGCAAGAATGTTGGCACAAGTTGCGATTTGAAAATTTTAAGATGGCGCCGGTTCTGGCAGCTCTGACAGTCACTCCGTGATCTTTTGTCAGCTGTAGTTGGTTGTGCACCTTTTTCATCTTTTATTAAATTATTTTCATCATTGCTCGTATCGCTGAAAGCGAGAGGAGATCGATAGAAAGGTCGTTCCAATTGCATTATCGCATTTCAATCCGTATTCATCTCGTATACATCTCTAAACGTCACTTCTAAACATCAAAATGAAAGTAACGATTAAAAGTAAGTATTTTGAAGAAGATCGGGACTTTATTGCTGACCAATCTTGTGCACTCTAGCTTCGTATAACTATGCAATATGTTTTCAATCATTTTTAATGCAAAATTTTTGATCTCACGTATATCGTGTGTGGTTATGTTTATTTGTTTTCAGGCATGAACTATGTCTTATATAGAGCGGAGTTACAAGATTTGTTCTTTTTTCAGGCTGGACAGGTGTCGCTACTTGGAGGTGGATAGCGAATGATGATAATTGCGGCATATGCAGAATGCCGTTCGATGCTAGCTGTCCGGATTGCAAGATTCCTGGAGATGACTGTCCACTAGGTATATTTTCTCTTAAGAATGCACAGCGTTATATCGGCAACTAAACGACGTAAACTTTGAAATAGTTCAGCAATAGGTTTGCAATTCAAAACTATAAATGTTTTATCACAAACTTTGTTTAAACATTTAAAGATTCTGATTTTGATATGATACATCCAACGTTTTATAATACAGAAACTTATTTGTGTCTTTATATCAGTACGCTGGGCATCCTTTGTCCTCTCGAAAACGGGAATTTTTGAAGAAGCTGAGATTTTTTTTGAAATAACTCTGATTTAATTCTATATTGTACAGCGTCGCAGCGTAGAATGTTTCGCGAAATATGGGAACGTGAGAGTCGTAGGTAAAATATTTCTCCAATATCCTCGACTTGTAAAATGCCGCGCCGCGGCAGGGGCACGCGCTCGCGACGGCGCGCGATATCGATCGACGCGTGCCGGTCGGCCGGCGGATAAACGCGGCTGGCAGACGGGGCGTCCCTCACCCTCGCCCTTCGTATCGATGCGCGTACGCGTTACGGGCGAATGCACGTCCGTATGTCCGTCCGTCCCTTCGTCCGCCGCCAGGTGCGCGTGCCACGCGCTAACGTACGCCGCCGGTCGCCCGACGAAATTAATTTGACGCGCAACTAACATTCGTCGTTGCTTCCAGTGTGGGGGCAGTGCTCGCATTGTTTCCACATACACTGCATCATGAAGTGGCTGCACTCGCAGCAGACCAGCCACATCTGCCCGATGTGTCGCCAGGAGTGGAAATTCAAGGAGTAACCGCCGACGCTTTCCGCACGGGCCCGCAGGTGTCAGCACGCAGCGAGTAATCAGGTAATAACGCGTGTCCGTCCTTCGACCCGGCTTGCTCGAGGTTTCTCCCTCGATGGAACTTGTATGTAAAATTGATGGGTCATTTCGGGGGAGGGAGGGAGGGGGAGACGTCACCCTGTAATCTATAAAAAGATTACAAGTCGCTTAACCAGACTCGTGTAAACCGGATCCTCGGCGCGAGGCGTTCTTAAATCTGTCGGAGAAAAGGCGATTAAGCAGCAGCGGCGGCAGATGGCAGAACACATTATACGTGTGTTTTTTTTTAAATCAACTTGACATACATGTGCTCAGCCTGATAACGAGACTGTAAATCTCGAATGACTCACGCCATATCTAAGAGAACGAATAGTACGCTAAATTTAGAACGTTATCGGAAGGATATTCATCCGCTGCTGCTTGATCTCGCCTGCCGCACGACAACCCGAAGTGCACTCTCGCATGCAGTTGTGTTCTTTTCACGAGCCTTCCGTGAAATCTTTCGTACCAAGCTCTGGAAATCTCGTTCCAGGCAGAATATGCGATTGATCGTTTTCTCATGAAAATGAGATATGAAAGAAGTGTCTCGGAAAATCTCTGCAGCAATTGCGGTATTATTTATACTTGGAAACGATTCTCATTGTCGATGCGACTCAAGAAACTTTTTAAACTTCCGCATACTTTGTGCGCGCAAAAATGCGCTCGCGGTTCAAGAGGTTAATACGCGGCGTGTTGTCGTACGCTTATCTGCGATTGCAGATCGACTTCTCTCCTCGCATCTTCGCGCTTCTTTGGTGACGCATCGGCCCGTTGAATTATTAATAAGTCGTTGTATTCAACGCGCTGTCGGCATCTCGCGTGTACACGTCCCGCGCGTTCGGGAACGTAACGTAATAGCTGCGCGCGGCGTAATCATTCTCGCGGCAGCGGTCCCACCGTCGGGGACGCTGCTCCCTTTTCTTCTCGCTTTAATTGCGGGAACGTCGTAATTCGCCGGCATGATCGCGCGAGGAAACTCCGGCATGTTTAATGTAAAGGCGAAGCGCGAATAAAATAGCGAGGAAAGCCGAACAAGCGTCGCGCGAGCACGCCATTTTTAACGTGGTGATTTTATTTCGCACGTTTTGTGAGTCAATTCTCGATGTTTACGCTGGCAAAAAGACTGAATTATTTATCACTTGGAAAAAGAAGAATTATGAGCCGCGCTGCGCACGGCTGAATAAAGTAGCGATCAAAGTACAAGAATAGCACGCAAGTCACGTTCAAATTGAAACATGCTGCGTTGACAATTGAAGAGAATCATTGTCGAATGTTAACTTGATACGGAAAATAAAAAAAATAAATTGCAAAATTAAATTATCAAAAATAATAAGTTGGTTTGCAGCATCTTTGCAAATGTAAGATAAATATATTTTCAATTTTCAACTTTACACATCCGATTTCGTTAATGTATTAAAATATTTCGAAAGAAGGAGAAATGTTAATTTTTGTATTATTACAGATGCGTATAAAGACGTCTTTTAAACTGCCAAACGTCGCAGCGTCGGGCAAATAGAGCTCACTTCTGGCATTGGCATTCGAAGCTCGCGTCTCGATCGCACATTCGCGAAACCCAATGACCCAGATAATCGAATTTGTTTTGACGGTCGCGCCGTGCACAGTAGCAGCCAGACAAGAACGTATCCGAGCGACATGAGAAATATACTCGTGATAAGTCTAGGAACCGGCCGGATCGCGCGCTCACCGAGCGGGGCGCCGATTTGCATTTTATCGGCGGGAGATCGGTCGCAAAAGTGGAACGAGTCGTTTTTTGCTCGAGCCAGGGCGAAACAGAGTGTGAATAAATTCCGAGCCCGCGTTTTCCCGGCCGGCCGGCGTGCCACTTCGCCTTTAATTGCATCGTGAATGAGCAGGTGATATAAACGCGCGACGACCGCGGGCCGATAACGCATTTCAACTCAATGTCGTCCCGCGAATTCGATATGATCTTATTTCAGTTCAGCGACAAAAGATATCTATGGAACGTCCAGAATGTATAGTTATTATAAAAACTGCGATTGTATCTTGAACATAACAATTGATTTGAAAAGAATTTGAAGCGTTGTATAGTTTTTGAATAAATTAATCGTTTTTCACGGATGCAATTATGTCATGGAAGATATCTATATAAATTTATGAACGCACGTTAGATAAAGTTTATGAATAAAACAACGAAAATTATACAGTTTACAATATTAGCAAGTAAAATTAACTAAACTTTTTTTGCAAAAATTCTTTGATTTGACCTGACAAAATTTTGACATTCTGGTGATTAATTTTCACTCTGATATCAGATGCAAAATTGCTTGTTCTTCAAAAAAAAACAACTTAATAAATTTTATCTCTAACATTCAACCGTATAATTTCGCTGTCCCAAACTGAAAGTCGACCAACAACACGTTCATAAATAAGTATCGAGTGTTTTGAATAAAACAATCGCCTCCGATTTCGCATGGAAATTACAGAACGCTTCAGATTCTCGAACAAGAATGCACACGATTGTTGCGAACGTTTATCGTAGCGTCTCATGCAATCTTAATTACAGAATTAAACTTATTAAGAGGAGCCGGGAATGGACTCAAACGAGGCACGAGGCTTAAAGAAAGGAATCGCACCGTTAAGACGAATTACGCGAATCAAGGATAATCACGCTCCTCCGGAATTCTCTTTCCGCAATCTTCGAGCGCAGCGCGCGCTCGCGCGCGAGAGAGAGAGAGAGAGAGAGGAAGAGAAGTTAGAATGTCGCGGCGAGTTACAGCACTGGCGAGCGGACCTCCGTGCCATTGGGGCAGCACGTCGTGAGGCAGAGGGGACCCTAATGGGTCCCTTCCCCTCCCTCCGTCTCGCTCCGTTCGCCTATTCCTTCGGCGGTCCTTCTCTTCCGCCCGCCCGCTGCCCCTCGCTCGCCTCGCCCGCTACGGGTTACTCTCTCACGCGATACCGCGGCGATACCAGCCGCGATATACACCTACACCCAACGCTGGAAGCAAGCGAGTCGGAACCCGAGACGCTTGGCCCCGACACCGGGGACTCGTTTCATAACATGACCTCTAAGTTCTTTCGATTCACGTTAATCAAGGATTTTCTTTTCTTTTTTTTTTCCCCCCCTACACGGTTCTGTGCGTTTTCACTGAAACTTTTTGTGCAGTTTTGTACGGCGCGGGGCGCTGAAGAAACGCTTTACTGTTTGTTTTTTTTTACCGTGCGTTTGCTTTTTGACAAAATTGGGACGAGATTGGCGCGACCGATAAGATGCTCTCTGCTCGACGAGTTTGAAGAAAAGCATTTATCAGATCGCCGCTGATCTCGTTCGCGTCGATGCGAGTAATGTGCTTTCGAAATGAACGCGTTCGCGGGCAATTAACTGCTACACCTGTGTTGGTTGTGATGTAAAGAAAAGCCACGGTATGTGACGGATACCGTGAAGCGTGTAGCGCGGTGCCTCGTAATTTCTATCGAGCCGCGGCGAAATCGGCTTACATAAACTTAGGCAATCTCGGGCGAGTGCATTTAATTAGGACTGCGTAATACTTGTCGGGGATATCGAACGGCGGTCCGATCGCGGTGTCCCGTAAACCGCCGCTGCTACAACGCGACTACAACCGAGTATGAAGTATTGCGTAAAGCCGCGCGGGGAAGCCACGTAATAATAATCTCGCGGGCCTTACAATCGCGAGTTTAAATTGAAACTCTTATTTTTAGCATTTCAAGCGAATCGGAGATTGGTTTTCGGAGCGGCGAGAATATTGCGGAAAAGCAATATCCCCGAGGGAAGGAAACCGTAGCGTCTCGGCGAGAACGCTAGAAAGTGTGACTTTCCGCGATGCCTGGAAGCAGCAGCCGCTTTTTCTCCTCCGAGATCTTCCGATTTTACGTAACGCACTGCGTTTTTTTTTCCTCGTTCTTACCGGACCAAGAAGTCGCACATCAGCATGATTAGTATGCTAACATCAGATCGCTGGAGGAGACCGCGTTGTGCCTCCACCACGGCCGTAAGATCCTCCTTACCTCTCTGTGTCTCCGCTCTCCTTCTCTCTCTCTCTCTCTCTCTCTCTCACGCTGCCTCGCTCGCTCATTCACTCGCTCACTCGCCCACTCGCTCACTCACACAACCTCGCTCGCTCACGCGTACATGCAAAACACGCGTTCGTTGATGACTACCTGACCAGAACTCGAGCTCGGCCAGTCACGTGGCCACCGATCGCGAAGGATGTTTGTGAGATCGCAAAGTCAGTCCGCGGCGGTCGGTCCGTCGAGAAAGAGAGGCTAGAGGCGCGCGATCGGGCGCGAGAGAAGGAGGGAGACGGAGAACGGGACGGAGGGGAGGAGATACTGGATCGGGGATACCGCTCGGGGGATCGTCGCTTGCTCTAGCTCTACCTGTCCGAAGGCATCCGGCGCGCGTCGGCTCGCTTCTCCGCGTCGGAATCACGTCTCTCGGCACGGAGGCGCCGAGAGTGTGCTATCGCGATTGGTTTTGCAGTGCCATGAGGAAAAAAGTGTCCGGCCGACGGAAAGGGGAATTCCTGGTGTGTCTGAAGTAATCGTCGCGCGTTTCGCGACGGAACGCCTTTAGCAGCGTCGTCGTCGCGAGAAAACGTTCGGTAAAAAAGGAACGCGAGAGCTGCGAGAGGTTCGCTTGTGCATTTAGAAAGCGCGGTTCGCGCGGCATTTCGGTGCACTGAAACGTGGAAGACGCGGTGTGATGTCGAGCGAGACCCCGCCGGTGATTGTGTAGACGCGGATGATGCGAGATGGTCGGCCAAGTGGCTTCGATCGGCGTTGCTTCGGCCGCGTCTTCGCTCGGAATTCGTACGTGAATTTTCAGGTGTTCGGCGAACTCTTTTTCTCTCCGTCAGTTCAGTGGAGAAGTTTAACCGTTGAACTTTGGAGCGAGATTCGGAAGGAGGCGAGCATTGTCGCCGGGAGCTTGAGAGAATTGCGATCGTTATCGAATTCGATCGCGAGCGTTCTGTACGCGCGCCGCTCTGCGAATCGCGGTATGCGATAGAAAGTTCATTCGCGAAACGAGCGATAAGAGCCAGTTTGTCGCGCTCGTTCGCGCGAGGAGGTCAGAATCGCCGGAAAGTCTGCTTGTACGCTCTTCGTAAAAGGAAAGCACGAGCGATCGAGATAGAAAGGCGAGTATCGAGGCCGTAACATCATCTCGCGGATCAGCCTGAATGAAACTTGAAGAGAAAGGAACGAAGCAGGCACGAGAAGAATTTCTTGTAGAAAATCCGAGAAAACGTGCCTGGGCACGAAATCGTTAACCGAGGAATTGCCTGCCGACCCGCCGTGGAATTGTTGCGCATCCGTCGCGCGTCCGAAAGCCGTCTCATTGTGATCGCTCGGAGAATTTCGAAAATCAAGGACACATCGGCGCCGAGCTTGAAGCCATTTAAGCGAACGAAAACGACACGCGAGCGTGTGCTTCTCGCGGAATTGTATGCAAAGTCGCATCGCGGCGATATCGCGCGTCGATCGGCGCGAGCGATCGCGACCCGCTTACGGATAAAGAGGACGCGCCGGACTCGAGCGGAGAAACGAAAGAGAAGAGGCGAAAGAGAAGGAAATACGATGAATCGAGGGTAGATTGCGGCGATTTCGCTGGCACAATGGTGTAAGAGCGCGCGGCGACGCATTGCACAACAAACTGCTGTCATCCCTAATCGACATTTAATGCACGCTCGTTCGCGCGTTTCGAGCGAACGAAAATAATGGTCGAAAACACACGTCTCTAGAAGCTGCGAGGAATTTCAAGAGAAATCCTCTCTCGCGGTTCCAAATCAAACGTTGTCAGGAATTCGAAACACCGTCGTAAACGTCGAATTGATTTCCGCTTTCCGAAGAATCCGAAGGATCGTTTCGGAATTTTCGAGCGAGTGGCGGAATACCGCTAGCGGGGAAAAAGTTTACCGAGCGCACACGGCGTTCGCCGACATTTTTTCACGACATCTCACGCTCCAACGGTACACAACGGTCGTCAAACGCACACGTGCGATAAGCGACGTGTGATAAGCGTCATCTCGTATCTTCAAGAAGGTTTATCGCAGCGCGCAGTTTTCATCGGTCATGCGAGGTGAAGGTGCCTCGCATTTACCGCTGACATTTCGTATCGCGGAGTAGCAGCCGCGTGTTTTCGCGAAATCGCATCGAGGAACGCGCGATTGTTTGGCCGAAAAATTTCCGACGCGGTTGAAAATCGTTCCATTTCGTTCGAGCGACGTTTCTTATTTCGAAATCGCATCGAGTGACGCAAGACCGAACGAAACGCGGTTGGTAAAACGCGTTGTAATCCATATCTCTCACCGAAGGAGTTCCGCTTCGGATTCAGTGCTGACTTTGCGCTTCGAAGCGGCGTACAGTTTCAGACACGCAAACGTGTAATAAGTGATGAGCGGTTAGGCGATCCGAAAAGCAAGCGGAATGCAGTTGGCAACCAGTCAGAGACCTCACCCGCCTCCGGTGCCGCCGCGGCCGAGTCGGCAGGTGGTTGCCGAGGCCCTTAAGAGGTCGCCAAGGCCGCCCTGTCCCACCCGGCAGGCGCCGCCGCCGCCGAACACGAAGCCCTGGAGATCCGATCAGCAACAGGTGGGCCCAGCGGGCGGACGCACAATCATATACGAGTCCATCAAGGAATGCGCGAAGGACATCAGGGACGAGAGCGTGTCCAGCGATGGGAATCAGCGGGACTGCAAGCAGGCGCGGAGCGCGGTCGAAAGAAACGCCGAGGATAATCGGCTGGAGAACGGCGGCAGGATCGCCCCTCGCGATCACCAGGAGGCCCCGGAGAGGCCGCATCCCGCGGCAAACGTCCCGGTCAACATTGTGCGAAAGCGCGACAGCCTGACCGAGGATCAGCGGCCGCAGCGCAGACTGGAGCTCCGCAGGAACTCCCGCGGGCAGGATCCGGCCGGTCTGGCGGACAATCGGGGAAAGGATCGGGAGAATAATACCGCGACGGCGAAGCCGCCGGTGGCCGCCAGGACCGTCAACGTGTCCTTCGACGACGAGGAACGTCGCGCCTCGTCCGCCAGTCCGGATTCGGCGAGTCGCGCGGAGAAATGCAACGGCCGCGCGGAAGGGCAGGCGAACGGACCGACGCCCGCGTGCAGATCGAGCCCCGGCGAACAGCCGGAAGCGTCCCCGGCGAGCGAGAAGAGCGGCGAGGCTGCGTCCGCCGTCGAGAAGTCGACGGGCGTCGCCGCGAGCGTTGACCGCGCCGCCGCCGCCGCCACGGTGCTCGTCGTCGACGAAGCAGAGCGTAAAATCGCGCCCGGCGACCGCGAAGACGGCAACGACAGCGACAACAACATCCACCGGCAGGACTGGCTGGAGGCGGGCATCCATTACTCCTCCACGCAGATCACTCTGCACGGAGACGACGGCGACAGCGACGCCGTCGACGGGGACCGCCTCAACGGCTACGATCATCACGAGGAAGAGAGGATCACTGACCTCGATTATATCAGGTAGACTGGAAGCGCGAATCTGTCGCGGACGCTTGCCTTCTTCGCATTAGCGGCAGACTTGGGAATCCTTTCGTCGAACGTAATAACAGATGGGAGAGATTTTACTCCAATTGTTACACGCAAAAAATTAGCTTCAGCTTGTTTAAGATCTCGCGTGACATTTTGATCTTAGCTAGTGTGAGTAATGGCACTGCTGGAATGAATCCGGCCGAACGATGATCTATGACGCAATGTCACGAAGCTGTTAACGTATTAATTATCGACGGGCCGCAGGGTCTCGTTTTCTTACCGTGCGCGCTGATCTGAATTCAACGATCCGAACTGATACGAAACGCGCCGCTTTCTCGCGTCGCGCAACAAATGCCGTGTCGACTGGCCATAAATGTTAACCGCTCGTTAGTTTAACGTTAAAAAAAAAAACCTGCCCGTGCTTCCTTTTCTTACCTCGCCCTCGAGTATTTCTCCCGGTCCTTTCTCAGTCACGAAATTCTGTAAAATTCACGAAACCCGCATTTACCTTTCAAATACTAGGAATTATATATCCGGCAAGATTGTACAGATTGAAAAATCTCATTCCACTTTATTTTCCTCTAAATATTGGCGAAACGCGCACAAATATAGAGATTGCGAGAGATGAGTGTCCCTTTTTTTTTTCTCTCACACAAATCACCGAGGAACTTAACTAGTTTCTAATTATGAAGACCGAGCCGATATCAGCCGCAGCCGCTGCGTGTCAAATCGATATTGATGCACTTGTCGGTGCGTCGAATCGACCTCATCTCATCGTACGGAAAATAAAACGAGACAGGCAAAGCACAGACCGCAAAGCCCGAGCGGATATCGACGGGAGAAACGTTCGTGTGGACATACATCTGCGCGACGTGTGCGCACGCAATGATAATAACCGCAGGGCAAAGTGAGTCATTCGCCAAATCCTCCGCCTTCTTGACCGCGGGCGACCGACACTTAAGACAGATCGATTTTTATTCCATAAAATGGTCGCGTAACGGTATCCCCGTTTCCTGCGGCTTCCATCACACTTTGCCTTTGGCAATTTACATGGGAAAAATATCTGACTCGAGGGATTTTCTCTCTCTCTCTCTTTCTCATTGCGAAACTATTATATCCATCCCACTCGTGGATTTTACTCGAGCTTCTGTTTTCATTAGTGATTTTTTCATGTCACGCTCGACGGCGGATTCGTTTTAAATTGAAATATCACATGTTATTTGTAATTGATTTATCGATACAAGCATATTGCATATTTATGAACATGTGTGCACTTAATTATTAGACACATGTAATCAGGAAGCTCAGCTGTCCTTTTTATCAAACATTTTATTTTGCTCTATAGAAAAATCGTCGAAATGTCTCGCAGATCGAGCGACTAAAAGTTCTAACAAACTCGATCTTGTTTCAGCATACAGGAAAGGATCGCGATGTCTTCCTTGCAAGGATTACCCCCGCTGCCGAGGAGCCTGAGCGGCTTCAATCTGAGCAGCGGACGCGGCGAGAGCGGCGAGCCACCTCCGCCGCCCACGAGGTCGTCCAGTAAATCCCAAAGAAGCGGTAAAACGTCGTCGTCGAGACCGTCGCCACCTGCTAGACAGCTCACCACCCTGGACACTCAACTGGCGGTGCTCAGGAGAGAAATGGTACTTGCTCGCGCTGCCTTCAACGATCTCGTCACTTCGATCCGCGTCTCTGAAGCTTCATCTCCTCGCGAAAGCTCCGTCGAGCTGCTGCACGAGCTGGATTATCCGAATGTCGGCTTTCGTAGATTCCCAAGCGCGGTAGCGCGCTGCCCGCGAGAACATATTTGAGCATTAAACTTTACGACGCGCGGCGGCGTCGCTCGAGATGCAGTCGGTAAATTGTCGATGCTGTTCAAAGTGCTGCTGAAATTGTACATCCGTTAACGGCGGCCATTAACTCCAATAGAAGCCATTAGTCATCCGCCGCGGCGCGAAACGTATTTACGAGCATGCGGGAAAATTCCACGCGTGATTTAAGAACGACGGTCGAGATATTTCCGCCGTCATCGAATTATTGCGCGCGATCCTCGTTCCTTCGCGCCTTTGCAATTTACGCGCGCCATCGCGATTCTGCCGACTCGAACTCGTTTTGCAAATGTCTTTCGTGCAGGATTTCTTTCTTTTAAGTGTCTTTATTGTATACATTTTTCCGTTTGGCACCTTTTTCCGCCGTTTCAATTTCCTTTTCGAGTATTTTTTCGCGTCGCCCGCCGCCTCGCCGCTTCTTTATCCTCGATGTTCCATCGCGTCGTCAGTCCGAGCACGTTCCGCGAACCGCCGTCATTTTCCACTCGTTGTCCACCTCTGTCGTCTCCCTCGGTTCCTCCGCGTCTGTTTGGGGCCCGACCCGGCCGACCCGTTACCTCGAGGCCGCGATCGCGTGTGTGTAAATTGCGGAGAGCGTGTGTTTCATTGCGTGGGATCGTAAGTGGCGAGGGAAACCAGAGTATCGTATCGCGATAGAAAGAGAGAGAGAGAGAGAGAGAGGACGCGCTTATATCACTTGCCGCGCGGAGGCTACGCTTTTTAATTGCTATTACGCCGCGGGTCTGCTGCGCAAATAGACTTCACGTGCCGGCTGCTACCTTGAACGTTGTATTCTACCATGTCGATCAACGATATCGCCGCATCGCTTTGAATAGAATTACCATGATTCGTACAAAATTCTTCCACACGTCTCGTTAACGTCTCGGCATACGGGATTCTATCGCTCCGCGGTAAAAGTCTTGGGATTTTATCGATCGAAGCCCGCGCTTAGTTTCGTCCAGGATCATCGGCTGCGCGTCGTCTCGAGCACGCTCGCTTGGCGGCGCGCGGCGTTCATTCCGCGGTTGAAATCAACTATAACGGAACCTCGTGTAGGATTTCTCCGAGGAGCTCTCGCGTTTCTCGCCGGATCTCTGGCGTGTTTGCGCCGACATCTCGGCTCGCGCGCCTAAGTTGGGCTAATAATTTAATAGTCAATCCAGACACGAAGAAGCGAACTGGCACAGCCGCTCCCACGCTGCATTCCCTCAGGCATGACTCCACACCGACGCGGACCTCCTTTTCCTCGGTCGCTCTCTTTCACCTTCGTTCTCTCTTCCGCCTCTCGCCCGCCCGCTTCGTGCCTCTCCTTCTCCCCTTCAGCCTCGTTTCTCCTTCATCGCGCTTTCCGCCGGCGTCTCTCTCTCTCTCGCGCGCGCGCGCGCGCGTTCCTCCCATTCTCGTTTTGCGTCTCGTCCATACGACTCCCTCTTCCTCCGTTCCCACGGCCAGGCGGCCGCCGTGTTGCTTGAAAATGCGTCATTTCAGTCCGTAAATCACAAGGTAACATTTACCCTTGGCGACCGTGCGGTAAAAGTGAATGCGCTTTGCGGGCGCACTGCGGGTTTCTATATCGAGCCTCGTGCCGAGTTTTGCAGCGATTCGCGCAAAATAGCGCGTGGCGAGTAAAAAGAAAAGTTACACAAAGGAGGGGAATTGATCGTGGAATCTTGAGCGACGAAAAAAACACGCGAGCGTCAAGCTCCGCATTTCTCCCGGACAGAATGACATTTGTATATGACATTATAAATTTATCTCAATCAGAGATCACTGTAAAACCGCAACGTCATGCGACTAGTTTCAGCATCGTGTGCGACGATGATGGTGTCGGAAGGCGGTTGAGAAAAAAACATAAAGAAGCTTCTTTTTTGCGTCTGTAAATCAAAATCTCTTTTTCACTTCAATAATTATTTCTTTCCATTTGCAGTTTGGCCTGCGGCAACTCGACCTCTCATTGCTGTCGCAGCTGTGGTCGCTGAACGAGTCGATCCAGGAGTTCCGACAGCTGCTGCAGGAGCAGGAGGACCGGGCGCCGTCGCCGTCGCCGAGCAGCGAGGAAGGGGACGACACGTCGTACGGAACGCATCCGCCGCCGCCACCGAGGAGGCCGGCGCCGACGCTGCATCATCATCGGCCGCCACGGCCGCCCAGGCCGCCCAGGCCGTCGGCCAGCGACGAGTCGCCGTCGAGCGAGGAGTACGGGGCCGTTTGACGTATCGTTACTGAGAGGAAGAAGTACTCGAGGAGGTCCCGGTCGTCCCATCGCACCTAAGAGCGACATTCCAAGAGGGCTCGACACTCCCCCGAGTACGCGAACAAGCACGCGAGAGACTTGAAAACCACGTTCACGACGATGCGATGTGATCTCGATAATCCTACTGGTGATAAAAAAAAAAAACACCCAAACTACTGATCCCTAGAAGTACCTGCAACGTTATACGAAACGCCACTCGAGATCCGTGCGAGATCTGTTTAATTCGCGACTGATAATCGAACCGAAACCGTTCGGGTGGAAGATTATTCGCGCTCGGGCCGCAGAGTGCTATCAGCCAACTACGGAGAAGCTTCTCTTGCAAACCGTCACTCCGAAGGACTATTACGAGATTGTAATCCACAGCGCTGTTGCAGCGTGAAGAAAAAGGGACTGTTGATCGCTCGATAACGGAAGACTGCAGTAGTTTTTAGCCGCCGAAGGCTTATTTAGCGTATGCAGGGTAATGATCGCTTCACAGCCCGGAGAAGAGTGTTGATTTACCAATAAACTACGACGTTCCGCGTGTGTCGTATTTTAGATAAGGAAGGACACAATTGCCGCGAGCGCGAGAGAGCTGATTCCCCAGCTCGGCCGCGCTCCTCTCCTCTCTACTTGTGATAGCGCTCGAAGGGGCCTTTGATTAATGATAATTGCGCCCGTTTATGCGGATTAAGATTTCTCCGGGACTACTTGCTCCCGTCGGAGAGCAATCATAACGGATCCGAGCCCGCTGCACCGCGTCCTTTTTAGCAGCCCTTTTTCGTAGCCTAAAAAAATAAAATAGCGCGACTCCTCGGCGCCTGGTGAATCCGAGAGAGTCGCGACGTTTCGCCTCCTCTTCCATGATTTTTGTATTCATTGCGTCCGTCACGAAGCTTGTTCTCGTTGTTGACTCCGGGTCAATTAGATAGGCACGCGCCGTACACGCGAAGAAAGGAAAGAGTGCGGTATACCGAAAAATATAATTGGCAAGCGCGCGACGCAGCCTTGCGAACGTATCTCCCGATCGATCTGTCTTCAACTTCCGTGCGACGAGCCTCCGCGTGTACGGCGACTTTGCGAAAATACTAAAATTGTCAATGTTCCGCGGCGCCCTCTCGCTAAGATTAGCACGAGCTGTGTGTAAAGATACATGATAAGACTATGGAAAATAAATGAGACTTAATTTAAATACACGCCGACACGTAGCAATCGTTACGCAATTACGAAACCTTTCCTTGTACAGCGCCATTGTTTTCCCGCACCGAGAGTCGGTGATCGACAGTGCTGCGCCTACTTGCGTATGCGCGAACTGCATCCCGCTCTGATGCGGTCATCAAGTAGGGTGTGTGCGGAAGCAAATAGTGCAATAGCGAAGAAAATTATAGGTGTCGCAATAATTCGTTTGAAGAAAAGAAAGAAAGAGCGTTCGGTCGACGGTGAGAGAAGATGAGGGTTTGCTCGATTGACACACTATTATAATTACTTTGACATGTTTAATCGTTAAAAGTTGATCTCTTCATAGATGCTTCAATTCACGTAAACTAGCGATCAGATCTAACACAAATATTCACACGTAGATATGCACGCATACGGACACACACGCAGTATTTCACGAGTTTAGTCGCAATCGAGTGCTGATCGATGAAACGTTTACGATTTCACAAGTTGGAATGAGAGAGTTCGTTTGTAATTGGAATTTCTATCCTCCAAATTCGGAGAACAGTTAGTCTCGCAATACTGCTAGGAAAAAAAAAACAAAATACAGCGTTCTATACTTGGCGTTGAGAGATCGAAAGGAAACTTTTGCAGCATTCACGAAGAAATTAGGCCTCAATTTAAGCCACCGGTAGACATTTTGCAATTACAACGTCAATAGGAACTCTGTAACCTTTTCTCCTTATTTATTCGCAAATGTTACATCATGAAAGCGCACTTTGTTATAAAACTTAATTTTTATCGTTACACCATAACGTTATTTCGTACAGTTGCGTGTCATTCAATTTCGATGTTGATTAATTGATGTTGATACGTTGATCAGCTTTTGTTGTTGCTATTAATTGCAAAAATATGACATTGCTAACTTAATTCCACCATCGGGCTCTGTACATTTTATAAACTTTCCTTATAAACTTTTTTATAAACGCAGCAACAAATTATATGTCAGCTAAATTATCTCTAAATTAGTTCGCGCGATAACTTGAGATTTAAATTAATCATTAAATAGTTTTGTAAGAAATAAATTATACGTGTGCCTTTCGGAGAAAGGCGACATATCACACAAGTTACATAGAATGTCACATAAACTTGTTCATTGCACGAAATTACAACAAGAAAGGATCTAATAGACATAATAATTTACTTAAAAAATAGGTCGACGCGTTAACATGATTTGCAGATTTGATTAAAAGATGCCACTTTCCCAAAACTAATTTTTCGTTCGAAGAGTCCTGTGCTTAAAGACTAGTAACAGACTGTAATCACTGTATGAGCAAATTTATGATATGCAAAATGAATGTGAAGAACATTCTTTTAGTGTCTTCTCGGACAAATGTGTATTGTTTTTTTTTTTCTTTTTTGATTCTTGTTTTTGGCACTGTCGACCTCTTCCTATTTTTTTTTTTTTTTCCATCAAGTCTTAACAATTTGTCCGTAGCGAGACATTCGTACAGAAAGAAGCCTAAATCTTCGCCTGTTTTTCAAACGGACCTGCGTCATTCGTCGTATAATTAGCGCGCGTAAAAATCTGCTTAAAATCTGTTTTGACATGGGGTGACATATTGGAGCGTGTAAAAATAGTCTCACAAACGTGCTATTTTGAAATGATGCGCGATAAAAAGACAATACATTATTCTTACGGAATCGACAGATGATTCTCGCGACTTGCCGAAACCATCCACGTATCAGTCGACGATGCTCTGTGCGTATTGCATTCAATGCGCGCGGAGTATCGTTTAATATACGCGGACAGCCTCGCCCTAATCACATTTACTTACATCGCTAAAGACCGTTTAAAGAAAAAGTCGCACGATCCCTTCCGGATCTCGTCGCGAAAGTTCATGCGCTTTTGTCATTTAAAAAAATACCGTCGCGCGATACATCATAAAGTGGACTTGATTTACAATTCTTTAATGTGTTTAACACAGCCGAAAACACGTTGGCGTTTGCACGAGCGCGCGTTGCATTGAATACTAACACGCGGCACCCGCGCGGTGATAATTTCTTTTTTGTTTTTCTTTCGTTTTTTACAAAGGAATAATCCGTTGTCCGCCCACTTTATGAGATATTCGATTCAATATTCCGATCATTCTTCTCGCGCATGAGACGTTCGCAAAGTGTCGGCGCACCAGCCATCGTTCTTTCGTTAAACATACTTTTTCCTCAAACACTACTTTACTATTCTTAACAATGCGTTGAATCTTAACAATTTTAACATGAATCTTGACAATGATTTACAGAGAAAAGTTTTTAGCGCAAAATGTTCTTTCAGAAGAACTGGAACAACCAACGCTATTTCGCAGCTCGGAGGTAGAAGGATAATTATCTTATATCTACAGGCTACGATATATTGGCTATTCCAATTTCAAGATGTTCACAGAAGACGCTGGAGAGCAGCTGATACTCGCGACGGAGCTGAGAGTCGACAGACGAGTCCCGTCACATTGCGCGGAACTGAATAAAATGCCGATATTTTTTTCTACAATCGCGTTAAGAAAGATTTCGCCGGAACTTTAGAAAAACAATCAATATCTTTCTTAATAAGTCGTTTCTAATCCTTCTCTCTTTTACTCGTGAAACTTTAGACTTGCGTCGCAATAACAGTCAATTCATATTAAAATCCAACATTGTTAGATAACCATCTTAACAATGAATATATACTTAATTCTTATCAATACCAATTTATATTTATATCATATTTCCCCTTCGATTGAAAAAAAACACTCTGTTCGACGCGCTTTCAGGGAATAAAAAAATGATTCTTGAACATTTCGGCATTAGTGATTTCCGCGTTCAGCATTTTCTGTCGACAGAAAGACAATAACGAACGCGGAAATTACAAACGGAAATGTCCATGAATCGTATTGTCCCGAATTTGTCGTACAGTATATTTCTCGCAATCGAAGGACAACCGTGGTGTCAATACAAATTGGTATTGTTAAAAATTAATGTGTAAGTCCATTGTTAAGATCACTATCGCCAATATTAATATTAATTAATAACGATTGAATAATACAAAATTATTATTATTATTAAAAAAAACGGCGGATTATATTTAAACTTGCATTCATAACGCGGTTGGAAGAAAGGCACGGTACGTAAATCCTACATCGCGTCGTATATGTCAGACGAATGGTTCTCTGGATCCACTCTGGATCAGTTAGAAATTTTTGCGACATTTCCCCAGCATGCTGTGTAAAAATCTTGCAAGTGAAACGCCCAATATACATAAGTAAAATAATTTAATCCTGATGTATCTTATTATTATATATACTTAAGAAAATAGCGTAAAAACGAAAGATTCATATATAAAACTACACTCTTATTCTTTCTCCCCGAAATGGAATTGATAAGCAGAATAGTTATGCTTGTGATACACAATTGACTTGCGTTCAAGACAAGAGAATGACAACTATAAGAAGAGCTAGATTTAATTTTTTTCCTCTCCGCAGATTCAAATAAATTAAATTTGCTTTAATTTCGTGAACTGACGACGCTAATAAAGGTCGATAAACAATAGCAAAGTGGGGGAAGGAAGAAAAACGTCTACTGTCATAAACCGTCGAATCTTCTAAATAACAAATTAATAAGGATAAAACGCAATTGCACGACTCGATTCGCCTCTTAATCTTATCTTCGTCATCACTTTTTTCGGCGATGCCAAATCGTTCGATCGATCGATCGTGCAAAAAACGTGCGCGTACGCGGTTTCCCTTTCTTCGGAGCCACTGTGCTTTGCTCCGAACTTCCGTTCAATTTACGATGGACAATGATCTAAATTACATGTGCATTTCATGCGTCCATCCGGGTCACGAGGTACGACGCGTAATAAAAATTATAAATATATATATATATATCACGCAATTGTGGAAATGAAGCACAATTGTTAAATAAAATACAGTCAGTGGTAACGGAAATAATCAACTGATAATAGAAAATTCCATTACTAATTTGTTACTTTCACCATTGAGTAAAACTTTCCGTTATAACTTCAATTAGTCAAAAATCATATATCCTCTAGCATATATATATATAATTTACTGGTAGTATAAGGACCAGCGGACAATTAAAAATCCCATCGCGCATCGCGGAACTTGAAAAGTGACGGTAGCCGCGGCAGCTTGATGCCGCATAATCTTTAGTGTAAGCCGAGACTCGCCGATACCCTCGCCGATTCGCGGGGGAAGGGCGACGCATCCGCGATTCCGGGACGTCAACCGGACATGATGGCGTTTCTCGGTATCGGGTTCACGTGGTTCTCCAGCCTTACCAGACGCACGTAATTGCGGCCGTAGTCTGTGAACGCCATCCTGCCGTCGCAGTAAAGAGCCACGCCGAGCGGACGATCCATCTCTTCCTGGCCGGGCATGTACGTGTAGATGAGAGTGCCGATCGAGTTGAACGCCTTGATCGAATTGTGGCGCGAGTCCGCGACCAGGATGCTGCCGTCGTCCGCCGCAATGACGCCCTGCGGTCGCTGGAACGCCGGTGTATTCTCGTCGTTCTGCCCGTCGCCGCTCTCCCCGCCGTCGTTCTCTCCGTGCCGTCTGCTCTTCGACTCCTTCTCGCATCTCAGTATGCGCATCTCCGTCATGTTGTACTCGATTATCAGCACGTGATGATTGTTGAAGTCCGTGACGATCAGCTTGCCGTCGTTGTTGAAGCAGATGCCGCGCGGCGAATCCAGGTAGCGCAGCAGGTGCGGCTGCCCGCCGAACATACGCAGGGGGATCCCCTCGGGGCTGAACAGCTGGATGCGGTGATTCCTGGTGTCGGTGACCGCGATCTCGCAATTCGAGTTCACCGCCACGTCCCAGGGATAGGAGAACTGGCCCTGTCTCTCGCCGTGCTCGCCGAAGGACCTCAGAAACTCCCCCTCCATCGTTAAAATCTGAAAAAACAACATCGGCTTCGGTGAGAAAAAAAAAACCAGCGAAGAATTACACAAGATTGCTTCCGGGGGGAAAAAAAACACCACGCACCTGAACACGATGATTGTCCTTGTCGACGACGATGAGGCGACGCCTGGCGTCGACGGCGATTCCGGCCGGACGATTGAACTGGCACGGGCCGTTGCCGTAAGTGCCGAATCGCCTGACGAGCGTGCCGTCCTCGCGGTAGATCTGTATGCGATTGTTGGACCGATCGCTGACTATGATGTTGCCATCCTTGTCGCACGTCACCCCCCACGGCCGGCAGAGATTGTCGGGGCTCTCGTCGCCGAAGTGGCCGATGATCTGGACACTCGTGCTCTTCACGTACAGCTCGGGCTCCCAGCTCGGTAGGACGATGTTGCTGCCGTAGGACGCTATCGCGTAACCGCGCGGAATCGATTGCATAACTATCTCGTTCAATCCGTACGGGAAGAACTGCTGCGATTTATAATCGTGATTTATCTTGTGATCGCCAATCGTGCCCGGACCAGTCAGCACGACGGTTCCGCCGTTGGCGATCGCGGGCAGCACGCTGCTATCGGAGCTCCTGAACGAGATCCAATTCTCTTCCCGGCCAGCCCGGGCCTTCGTCTTCCGATTCTGACGAATCTGCCAGATCTGCGGGGGCACGAAATTTCAACATCTTTATAGAAATTTCTTCAAATGTGACGCAATTATTACAAGTTTCGTTTTATTAATATCTTTTCTAATGTTGTTTTCCTTTTTTTTTTTTTTCAAAAACTGCACAGAAACATTCCAGCGAGAAATGACTCGTCGAATCGACATCAATATGATGTAATATCGATGATTTTGATGTCGATTTGATGTCGATTTGACATCGATTGATAGGTCATTTCTCGCTGGGATGTTAGAAAGTTAAGAAGACGGAGAGAAGATAAGATACCTCGGCCAACACCATGTCCTTCCTCTTCAAGAGGTCATCGGGATTACAGACAAGGGCGGATAGTCGCGAATCATGGATGGCGCATTTGAGGGCACTGATGGCCTGCGACAATCGGTTCCTATCTTCTTTCAGGTTCAAGTATTTCTCCTGCAGAGCCTCAAATTTCCATCGTCGCGCTTCCACTATCTGTTTAAACAATTTCTTTTCTCTTTCTTCAACGGCAGACCACATTCTACGTGAGAAGAACTTTACGTCAGCGAGCGTATCACTGGTTCTCTGATCTAGCGCTGCAATGTCCATCTACAAGTAGTGCGCAACAAATTCTTTTATTCTCCAGATTTATTTTATGCAGGATGTACATAATTGTGTTTTTTAACCAGCAATACGCGCACGGTTAACGTAAATATGAACAAATGTATGCAAGCTTTAATGATGTATTTATTAATCTTAAAAATCAAGAAACTTTTACTATTTACTGCTTGATTTGGAATATTTTTGTATAATTTTTCGCAAAATATTTTTTATTTTATATTCCTATTTAATGCAACATATAAATAATAATTTAACTGATATTCAATAAATCAGTGTTTTATAAAAAATCTTTAGTTTTGTTATCAGATTTGAAGGAAAACACATTTGTTTTCCGCACTTTTGCATATATATTAAAATTTTTAATCAAAAAATGGTAAAAATTATTTCAAAAAATCCATTATTCTTCGCTAACATTATTATTCATCGCCTTTCGATCATTCATGCTGCACGTCGGAAGAGCTGAAAAATCACTAAAAAATCTAGAAAACTAGAATCTTTATCAGAATGAACATCTAATGACAGAGGAAGACATCGAGGAAAGAGCCGACAAACCACTCACCCCCATATTTTCCATATCATCCGCGAGGACATCGATTCCAAGGTAAGCCTCGATTAATACGTCCTCAGCTTGACGCTGGGTGATCTCGATAAAGTCCACCAATTCGATCGTCACGTGCTTGCGTACGCAGTGTACGGCGCAATCTCTGCAGATCGGCTTGCAGCAGGTCTGACAATAAAACGGCTCAGTGAATGGATGATCACTGCAGCAATAAGTCTGCTTCAACAAGCAATCGGGCGATTGATCCTTCTCAACCTCCCTCGCCGCCTCCGTCTCCATCGCCATCAACGATGCATTTGGCACATCCTGCTCGGCACTCGCGCATTGCTGCTCGCATGCCAGCAGTTGTCGCTCGGAGCCGATCTTCTCCGCTCCGTTCGCCATCTCGAGCTCGCGCGACATCAACGACGTCAACGACACGTTGAGCGCGTCCGCTTGAACGTTCGGGCTGCAAGCTCGCTGCTCGCACGCAGGTGATTGCTGTTCGGAGTATCCGCTCGCCTCCTTCGCTATCTCCAGCTCCTTCGGCGGTATCAGCGCCACGTTGGACGCGTCGCTCTGAGCGCTTGGACTATGGATTTGTATCGGTGACACTTGATTATAATCGTCTTCCTCCAGCTCGTTCCTTATCAACGGTACGCCGGACGCATCCTTTTGTACGCCCGGACTGAAGGCCCGCTGTTCGCATATGGGTTGTCTAAAGTAAACATCGTTCTCTATTTCTAACTCTTTTGTTATCAGCGGGATAAACGGTACGTTGAGAACGTCCGCGTGGGCGCTCGGACTACGCATCGGCTGCTGTATGGGCGACTGTATGCGCATCGGTGACAGCAGCTCGGAATAGCTGTCGTTCACGTCCGACAAATCGATCTTCAGGAAGTTCTTGTTGAGATCCTCGAACGGCTCGCCGCGGCCGGCGCCGAAGAAGCTCGAATTGCACACGCCGATTTCGTCGAATATCCGGAAGTACCCGAAATTATCCGGCGAGCCGGCGTCCAGCTGGGGAATCGGCGAATGATTCGCGATGCTCTCATCCGAAGAGCCCGGCCGACTGTCGCACGAGCCCAATGAATCGGTTATAATGTCGTGGCCGCGAAGCCTCGCGCATTGATTCAAGAATCCTGGTGAATTGAGAACCGAGCGGCCCAGGTTGCCCTTCGGGTACTGCTTTGACTTCCCGGGAACAAATTGTTTCGAGAAGCTCTCTGAACTGCATTCGGAAAACGATCGGTTGTGCTTAACGGCGTGCGGTCCATTCCGGAAACTTTCGTCCTGCTTCCGAGACTTGTGCTGAAAACGCATTTGTTCTTTACGATTTACAAATTTCGAACTTACCGCTTCGATCGAATTTGAAGTGGTTTTAGAAGACTGATAAACATGTAACGCGTATTCGGATTAATAAAAAATGAACTTTAAGGTTACAAGCTGAAATCTCGCGTTTTAATTTCAACCGCAATCTGAGAGGAAAATTCGATTATAAATAATTTCGTTTCCGAATATTGAAAAAGCATTTTACGCGAATATAACAATTTCAACGCTTTACAAATTACGAAAAATATCGATTGCACTCACTCGCATAGCAGGACGATGACAGTCCACTCCGTTGTGGGGAGATCTCGATTGATTCATTGCGGCAGGCAACAATTGAAACTGCACGGCCGTACTGTTGAAATTTCTTGCTTTTCTAAAACAACAGTTAAAACGAGATTTTGAAAAAAAAAAAACTAAGTTGAAATACCGATGCTAGCTGACGACCGGCTCTACGTGAAATGGTGAAGCAATGTGGACGCATGCCCGGTCGATTTTACGGTCAAGGAATGTCCGTTCGCTCAACGTTCGGTCAACGTTCGACTAGTTTCGACTAGTTCGGACTTCGAGATCCCACAGTTGATCCCCCATCGGTTTTTATATAATACATCAAAGCAAACAGACAACTAGACTGCTAAAAAAAAAACCGAGGCAGCTTTATATCAGCTTCTTAAATTTAGCAACGCAACGCTCTTTTTTATTTCAACTGCTAGCATAAACGATGATCCACGCGGGAGTAGAAGTCGTCTCATTATGTACCGTGACGCGTAAAAATTCAATCGGACTTGGATTTAGCTTCCGAGAGAGAGGGAAAATTGTGTATCCAAACGGGCAGAGATCGATGATCCGAGAAGATCCTCGATAAATCGCGACGAAATTTCTCAAAAGTAAAAACCAAGTTCAATTGACGGCGGCGATAAAAATTAATTTTTGAAAACTTCCTCCTGCTTCGTCAAAAATGTTGAATAACAAAAAGAAAACAGTAGGAAAATGTAGATGTCGAATTGACCTCTGTACTTATTCATAACAATGGAAACGTCTTTGTGAAATATATATTTCTGCACATCCACAACATTGAAGATGAACTTTCCGAAATAATAACGGTTTCAACCTTGGGCGAAATCGACCTGCGCGCTAAAACGCCTGTTTTATGCCTTATGCAATATCCAAAAGCACTTTGCGAAACTCTCGCGACTTCTCTCGTCGCGTATAGCACGAGTGTTGCGTCCGCGAATTTGCGCGCTTTGATCGAATAACGGTACTTTCGCTCGTCGAGACGATGACTCGATTATTAAATGAATGGACAAAGACGTGCATTGTCTAAAGATTAGAGATCGATAAACGCGCGAAGGATCAATAAAGTGAAAATTCTTCTTGCACCGCGCGAGCGATCGGCTAGCGTTCTTACTTTATCCGCCTCGTCGATGTGGCCCGATTCGCCTGTTTCTATCGAGCTTTCGTAACGTTGTTGATGCTCGAACCACCTCGGCCTCCTGTTCGCAACGAACTAACCGATCATCGACTCTCGCACTGTTGACAAAGATTCGTCTCGCGATCGCTAGGTCACCTCGTGTGATATCCAAATTGTACAGTGTGTTCTATTTTTAATGCATTACTTTGCAGCGATCGACCAATTCTCAGCCAATTTAAAATTGCCTAAGCGAAAAGGAATTAAGAGAAATGATTAGCTGCAATTATTATTTTGCTCTTGCAAATAGATAATTAAATACGGGAATTTTTACCCGAGCATGTAATCTGAAACGCTTGATGCAGTTAGCAAATATGTGTATTCCGAATGTGTTCCTTTTCGCGAGCAACGATGCTAATGAAAGTAATATTCATTATTTTTAATATGAGTGTTTTTCGCACAGTACACGTAATTATAATCTTCTCATTTTCCACGCAATCCGATAATAATCCAAATAACTTTGTATAAAAATACGCGAATTAAACAGAGATTTACGAGTTAAAATAAGCGCAATTGAAAAACAAGAGACACAAACGATATATGAAAATTATTTTCTCCGTTTTCCCGAATACGCTAATTTTCCGATTCTCGATGCAAACAAGTAATAAGGATCTGCGCTCGTCGCTTGTACATGCATCGAGCTGTATCGATCTGTCAGCGTCAATATAGACGCTTTCCGAAAAAATCGAGACATGAAGGACACGCGAAAATGGCACGAATGGAGGGCGCAAAATCAAGCTGTTCGCCTGCCGTTATTTTCTCGAGCAGAGAGTCCATGAAATCGCCAAACCATATCTTTTTCCGGATGCCTTGCGAAGGGTGGTTATCCTTAAAATCGCCATGGCGACCAAGGTCAGATTCGCTTTTCCTCTCGAGGGTCGGAAAGGAGGAGAAAGTAAAATGGTCGATGCTTACGTGTTGACGGCGTATTTGCGAGCGCGAGCGCGCGTACGCCGTCGTGTGGATGTGCGAATACGCATGAATCGCGCGCCCGCGCGATGTACATTTACCCGAGATGTATACAACAGGTGTTACATACCCGTCGCGCGTTTAAATAGTTCGATCAAATTCTGCCCGTGCTGACGTCCCTTTGTCCCACTCGCGTATCAATCTATATTTGGAACTGTTAATATTAGAATTTTGATTTTTATCTCCTCTTTAAACAAGAATAGCGTATCGAAAATTTATTTTAGATCTCATTTTTTTAGAGTATTTCAGAAATGATTTCTCTTCGCGAGAAATCTGGAATAAATCCTCGGCTCGATTTGCAAATACTTTTTCAGGATTTCAATACGCTTCCAATACTTTCAAAACGTCCGCATTTTACATCCCCGATAATTCAACGATAATATAACATCTGCGACTATCGGCGAGACGGTCAAAGCTATTCGATTTCGTTTTCACTGGCGGCTGCTGAGCGGCGTCGCCTGCTACTTTCGCTCTCGTTCGGGTTTCAATGCCGTATAATAGAAGCTCCACGGTACAAGATAGCGCGACGGAGAGTCGCGAAGAACACACACACACACACACACACACAAATAAAATTCAGTACAATATAAAACAAATTCCATAAAATAAATAAAAATAAAACACGTAAATGATAAACATTAGACAAATAAAACTTGACAAATCTCACCTTTCACACGAATGCTTTTCTGCAAAGTAATCGAACCATCGTGCAGCGAACTCGTCTCTTTTCGAGATATTTATACTCGCGTACTTTTCCAAGATTAATAGCCTTCAACGGCTGGACATTGACATTGTATAACTGATATACTCTCCATATGGAATGTCGGGCGCAAGTGGATAGGTTTATTTTGCAGAAAAAAATCGTGGACAAATAAATCGATTGATGTACAAATAATGAAGCAAGGAATATTGCACGGTCGGCTCGGCTCGTCCGTTTCAAGCTTGAGCTCGACTACTTAACAGCAAGACTAGTGGAAATTGCCGGGTCCGCCTATTAGGGATCGCTAAATCACTTAGCAGACCCCGGCTTTTCACCTTATGTTTCCGACCTTTCATCTCCAATATTTGCCCGCCCCTAACCCCTACTCTGCATCCTTGAACTTTCACTCATCAGGGTTCGTTGCCAATTTCTACTCGCGCCTCCGCTGCCCTTTCTCCCGCGCTCACAGATATTTTAGTGCCCGCGACTTCTAAACTCATTAATTACAGTTATTTACAATTGAAACTGTTCATTATAAATAATCAATATCAGTCATACTTTATAAATAACACCATCGGTAAGCGAATAAACAGGCCGAGAAATAGATAGAATAGCGCAATATTTAGAGAACATAATGTTCAGGGAACAAAAACGGTACGTATATATTGTGAAATGAAAAAAAAATTACAGAGTACATTAAAGATCATCGATTAATTTTCGGAATCATGTAAGAATTGACGAAGGTCAGTGGAGCTGTCGAATAAGCCTTCTTACAATTAACAAACTAGAAGAAATATCTACTGATCGCTCGCAGCGTGGGACATGCAGTTTCTCTAAATTACCGCGTGCGAGACAATAATCTAGAATAGGACAGACAGTAATTGAAAAAAGTCAAGTACGATTGTTGCCGGTGCGATCGCGCCGTGGTCTTCCCGCACGCACCCTCGACGATCGGCGGCTCCCAGTACGTGCTCCTCACGTAAGGATTCCAGGCGGTCCGCCCGGGGAAGGCGGCCAGAGAAGAGTCGCGAACGCGCGCCATCGGTCCGTCCGTGCCGGGGAACAATCGGGAGAGACTGAGAGAGCAACCACGCGGCAGCGACGGCGGCGGCGACGGCGACGTCGACGTCGATTCGCGAAGACCTCGACGGTGAGTGAGTCGTCAGGAGCAGTCGCGGGTCGTCAGCGTTGCTTCACGCAAGCCGAGGCCGGCGCGCGAGGAACAGAACATCCGCCCTTATCCCCGGCTCGCTCTACCTCTGAATCACCCTCGGTCGCCCACGTATCGCGCGACGCCGGGGACGACCGCGTAGGTGACTTCTCGCGAAATCCCCCTCCTCGCGGCGCGCCGCGACAGGGCGCTTGCGCCCGGAAACATGAATGGAGGCGCCCGTTCAATGCCGGCCGGACTTTTATTTGCCCGCTCACGGGAGCACTGCGGCATCCAACTCCCGCCCCCTCCCCCTCCCCCCCCTCCCATCCCCCTCCTTCAACGACGACGACGACCTTCAGCCACCAGCCAGGGTCGATCGGTCAAATCCGCGGGCTCCGTCCCGAGGAACAGGTGTTGCATTGAGCAACCGCGCAGCGGCGTGACGCAGTCAATTCTCTCGGACGGAGTACGTCATAGTTCATTAATCCGTCATCCGCGAGCTCACCCCGTGATCTATATTTCATTACTCCTCGCCATTGTCAAATGCAATTCGGAAATGCGATGCGTCCCCCCACGCGCTGGAAGCGCACGTCTCTTCGGCGTGTCGAAGATTCGATGTCGCCCCGATCAAGGTTTTCCACTCTCAAATCCCGACTCGCAATTCGCGCGAGCTCTTTCTCCGCCGGCGAAGCGTATCGATGTCACGCGTTCCTTTTCTCAAGACTCCCGCTCGAACATCGCCGATTAATGGTCGATGCGAGTCGCCGCTTCGGCAAAAAAAAAGAAGGCAGAGACATGGAAAGGAGGAGGATGGGAAGGAAATTTTGATAGAATGCGATAGAAGGAATCGTACTTACGGCGGCGGCGCCGCGCGATGCTGGCAAAACGTTGAACGAGATGCTAAGAATTAGAGGCTGCAATTTTAT